GTCAGCTTCCATGATGGTCGGAGGGAGGGTAGACACGCACGTACTGACATACGGAAGATTCCCAAGGCGGAAATACCGCTTCCTAAAGAACCATCCGCAGTTAGTTTGTGAAGCCGAGCGAATCTCGATGGATTTGTAAGCAAGGGATGGTTGAGGAATCCAAGGGATGGCTTGGGGGACCAGCTGATGATGGCATTTCTGGAAGCCCCAGCTTCACAAGGGTTTAGTCTGAAAAATGTGAACCTGGATGCACTCTTAAATCAGCCAAGCCTTTGTCGGATGGTTTTGAATAAATCAAAAGGACCGCAATCGAAATACACAATTCTGAGACCTGCGCGAAAGCTAACGTTGGCAGCCCACACTTTCGGCACGGCAACTGAACTTTGTTCTCTTTTGGCACAAAGTGAAAGTGGATGCCACAATTTAGCAAGGCCGCTTGCATGATGTGCATTTGCCAGGAAGCTTGACAAGCTTGACAAACCTGCTTAACATGTTTCTGTTTTTCAATAATGCTCATGTTTCCTGCCAGTTAATGCCGCGGACGGACATGGATCGGATCATGGAAGGGTATGGCCATGAACGAGCACACTGTTTGGGTTTGAAAAGGAATCGAGAAGGAGACCGGCACTTTTGGTGGTTTCATTTCTTGACAAAGCCATATTATGTAATATGTGCCGTGATCAAACTTCCCCTATATTCCTCTTTACTTGAGGTTAACAGGGATGGTCATCCAGCTGGTAGCAATGGTCCTTAACTTAATAACTATGAGTGATTCCCAGTAAGGGAGCCATGACCACAGGCCATTAAAGGAATTTCGACTCTGGCACATGGGTTATTATAGCATTCAAATCAGCCGAGGGAGTTGGGGCGAGCAATGCGAAAGGCGATCTACCACGACGCTGGTCGTGCCCTGGGGGATGTTCCGAGCTCCTCTGCGGAAAAAGAGCCGACCTCTCTCGTTCGCTGCGCTGAAGGGGAACCCAGGATCTTTTGCTCTCTCTGTCTCTGTCTCTCAGTCTTTGAAGCATCCAACTATATCCAATTCCTAAAGAGTTTGTTGTCCCTGTTGGGATTGGTTTGGATTTGAATTTGAACGGGTCCCTGGTCGTTGTCGAGGGTAAATGGGAAGCCCCCTCCGGAACACCAAACCCGCAAAATAAAGCACCAATCAGGGGGAAGCTGAGATTCCCAAGGACTTTGTTGTACCAACAATTTTCAGTTTGAGAAGCGCGCAGATCTTCTGCAACTTGGAGCGTCCGTGCAGCACGTACGGGTATGGCGGGAGCTGTTGGCTTTAGCGCTGCACGCAACATGTGCGACCTGCCGGAGCCTCGGGCGACGCTTGTGCCATGCCTACGACCCAAACGAAGGCAACGCTTGTGGCCTTTTCGGGTATCGTCAAAAAGCTGCCGCGGGGCTTTGCGTGCTCAAGATGGCTTCGGGTACTCCAATGTAGTTGGTTGGTTTCATGCTGAATCTTGTGTATGGCATTGTTGCTTTTGACATGCCCCAAGGGGTGGTCGCAGCCTAAAGGTAGTCTGTGCAAAGTCATGTACCAAGGCCTCCAGTCTCAGGCCATGAAACAGCAACAGAGCCCCTGCAGAATGCTGAGCCCACTTTCACGTGGGCGTGTCTTGTTTTGAAGTAATTACAGTTGTTGTGTAATTTAAGGGAAACCAACAATAAACCAACATGGTTTTGTACAGGTACTTCAATATGCAGTCCAGACACACCCATTCGGCGGTTTAGTATATTAGAATTGAGAGGTTCTTTCTGATTGATTGCCAAAGCCCTTTGCCAAAGGGCGCCAAAGATGAAAGAGCCATTCTTAGATGTAGGAAACACTTCTGTCGCCCTCCTTGCAATGCAACTTTTCAAGAAAGGTTTCTCTGGTTTTGCTGGAGGCCGCCAAGAGCCAGTCGTTGACCTTGTGCCATTTCCGCCTTTGCCGCCTGAGGCTGTCGCTATGGGCGTCTGTGCGGCGCGGGGATCGCAACTGCCCGGGGATCGTTTGCCGGGCGACTCGGATCTGTGCGAGGGCAGGCAGCGCCCTCGCCCCACTTGTTCCGCGACTCACTTGCCCAAAGCGAATCGACCTTTTGGCCTTTTGGTTTTCCCATGTTGGTCCATTTTTAGTAAAGGTCCCAAAAGGTGAACCTTGTGTTTTCAGGTCTTTTGGGCAAGTGAGGTGATGAATCCCCCTTTTGTTGCTCTAGCACTGATGCAGCATTCCCGTTCCCCATAAACCACGGGACGACTGGACAACCCTCTTTTGGATGCCTTTCAAAAGCACTTTTGACTGTCAATGTGCGTGCACAGTCCATTGATTATGTGAATGTCAAATGTGGTCACGTCAATGCGGCTTATCTCGATGAGACACTAAAAGAGTCCGATTCGACTCAGCATGAGTCGCGGCTTGGTTGTGATTGTTGTTGCATTTGCCAGTCTTTGGGTTGAGTGCCTTTATCTTTTTTGCACTGATTCGGCATGTTACTCTTCATCTTGCCTTATGTTCTTTGGAACTATGGTGTGGCGAAAAGGGATCGTAGTCGTCCTCTCGCGCCACCAGCAGCGTTACAAGCACCAGCACAACATACACAACAAGCAGTAAAAGCAGCACCAGCAGCCATTTGGTGGTGAAAGTCATCTTTTTGTGGTGGCTTCCCTCATGGTCACCCCATGTTCACCGGACCTTTTGATCAACCCCCATGAACATATATATATATATACACATGTACACATAGTTTCCATGAATTTCGCTGTTGGTCTGAACCCCGGCTCGAGAATCACTGAGGTAGCCGCTGGATGTGTGCGCGGGGTCAGGCTGCGAAGAACCCTGGGTTCCCCTCAAGAAGCCACAGGAGGATGGGTCTGATGTTGTTTTTTTTGTTTTTTGTTTAAACAAAGCTAGAATAGAATATGTGTTTGTTTGGTTTGGTTTGGATTGGTTTGGTTTGTTTGTTTGGTTGTTTCTCTCTGAAAACGCATAGACCCTCACATCACAAAGAAATAGAACCTCCCTGCTTTCCTGTTGGAAGGCCATTTTGCACTTCCACGTTAGTTGGTGGGAGGGTAACTCTTTGCTGGTGGTGGGGATTGGTGTGCTTGTGTGTCCTGGAAAAGGGAGATTGGCTTGGTATTCCTTTGTTCGATCTCTTTGGACTAGTGGCTTGGATTTGGATTTGAACGGGTCCCCGGTTCTCGTAGAGGGTAAATGGGAAACCCCTCCTGAACCACCACACAAACCAATCCAAACCGCCAAGTAGAGGGAGCTCAGATACACCATCCAGTTGCTGTTTCTTGCTGGTGCGGAGTGTTTGATGTCATAGGCGGATCTCCGCATGCTAGCGATGAGGCATGTGTCAAGGTCACATAATCCTGAAGACCTGATGGTGATTGGTGTTGCAAGGTCACATAGTTAAGTCATATCAAACGATTCCCTGACATTTCTCGACATCAATTGATCGTGCTTGCTGTTTATCAACGAGCCTCCAACTCAAAGTGTCAAGGCTTAGATTGACATGATGTGTGCACAGATATGTGTACCTCTTGATGCCCATGCCAATTCGCAATTCCGCTGTCCTGCGCGCGGTTCTGGCTATTGATGCAGGGGTGCGTCAACGTGTGTCAATCGCAACAGCTGGCTGCCAAGCAGTGCGATATAAAGCAAAGGCACTCCCTCGGAGTTTCACGTTGCTTTGGCCAACGCTTCGTTGCTTTGAGCAAAGAGAGGCACTGCTCTCAGCCTCCCAAGGCTTGAGCAAGCGCCAACCCTGGAGGTGGCAAACGGACTAAATTTTTGAGATGATATGCAGCATGTCAAGAACACCTCCGAGGAATGAGGCCTGATCCCTTGGGTCGGTTCATTTGGGTCTCTCTTCTGGTGATGTCCTGGCGCGATGTTTCGGCTGCGCAACGATGGCTCCCCGCAGGCGCAGGACGCCATACTCTGAGACGTTCGAATGTGTTCAGGAGCTTTTGCTTGCCGCAAAACTTTGACCAGGTCGTGGCATTGCTCAAACGGATTTGCCCTGCCACAAACCTTTGACCAAGTCATGGCATTGCACCCATGGTTCCATCAGGAGCGCTTCGTGCCGATCGGATCAAGGATAATGTTAACCCCGGATGAATAAACCGGTTGATTAATAGGGGGATGCCCCCTTTTAGTGGGGAGTCAGACCACTCTTGGAGGGAACACCTTTTCAATAGTGGGACGGGTTTATGAATCCTGGGTCAACATTGGTCCTTCCGAAAATCGCAGGCATGGCAGGAGCCCTGCCCCGAGCCTCACGGCGCATCCCGACTGCGTGAGGCGAGAGTTTCGGGGGCGGGCGTGAGGAGTGCCACGAGGGATGCTTTTGCTTTGATGGTATCGCCCAAAGGGAAGGGAGCCCAGAAGTACCCTCCCACCATTTTCACGTGGAACCTGACGTTCCGGGGGGGTGGTGGAAGATCATTTTCCTGTTAAAGGACCCTCTGTCAGGTTCCATGTTCAATGGTTGGAGGGTAAGTCACCCGAAAACAAGCATTGAACCTGCCAAGTTTGGCGCGGAATTCCGGCTCGGGTAACCATGAGCTCGTTGGCTATGCACGTGAAGCGGGGAAGCATGTTTGGGCAGATGTGGCCTTTGCAGACAGGCCCTTCATCATGCGGATCTCAAGGGAGTCCCTCACGCTTTTAAGGTCAGTTGTCCCGCTTTGCTTCTCTCCCTCTCTCGTTTCTGTACCTCAATATGTTTCCCCTAAAACGCGGGTCGGTCAAGAGCAGTGAGCTCGTCAAAGGTTGCTTGCATGAAGATGCTGGACATGGCTGCGCGACTCAACAGGGCATGTTCAATTCCTTAGATATTTTAAGCAAGGAGCAAGCAAAACGCTATGATTTCCCGTGTCTCGGGGGTTAATTTCTTACACTATGTCCGGCCACGCAAACAGCACCGAACAGAACATGCCGCAATGCCTGGCCAATGCAGGTGCAGGAGGTCTACGATGTAGCGCCTTAGCGGACTATTGCGGACGGTAGAGCAACGGTCGCAGCCCATGTTGAGTCCGAGGCTGACTGTTTGACACTTGATGAAGGATAAACCTGGAAACACGGCCTATGAAAATTGACGAAGCCAGTTCGGCAGATTGGATGTAGAGATGTCTGACATGAGGCCTCCAAAACCATCATCCGGAGGTTGGCCCGGGCTAAGAACCTTCGGAACATGGACATTAGATTATACCCCGGTGACTGAAATTCAACTCTGCTTCTGTCTGCACTTTCTTCGGAATCAACCTGGGTGCGTCTCAAATTGGGAGAACTTACCCGTTGACGAGTACATGTTTCTTTTCCAAGCTACATAAGGACCAAAGGGAGGGTCTCCCTCCCTTTTGATCATATGGTAAAAGCAAAAGCACATTTTGATCCCCAAGATGTTCCATCCACTTCGCTGGAACGTTGAGAGATGCCAGGCATGGAGTGCGAATCATTGTTGTGTTGGGCACTTGTTACTTGAGCTCGAGGGGCCCCTTCCTGGATACAGCTGCTTTGTGCTGGACCTTCCTTTTGCTTTGCTGGATCTTTGCCCTTCCAAAGTTTGATAAGTTTCTCGCTTGGCTTGCAGACAGTATGGACTGAGGGGAGGCGCCTTACAATTCCAAGCTTCGGTTGTTTGCATTGCAATACGCTATGACTGCAAGAACGTTTCTCCCACGGCAAGCATTTGTAGACAGCCACGATGCCCGAACTGTTAGGCCGCACTGGGCACGACTATTGAATTTGTTTGTTTAGTTTGTTTCGTTGTCGCCCGTGTCGTGTGTTTGTTTGTTCGTTTGCTTGCTTGCTTTCTTGTTTTCCTGCCTGCCTGCCTGCCTGTCTGTTTGTCTGTCTGTCTGTCTGTCTGTCTGTCTGTCTGTCTGTCTGTCTGTCTGCCTGTCTGTGTGTCTGGGACTCTGTGTGTCTGTGCGTGTTTGCTTGCTTGCTTGCTTGCTTGCTTTCTTGCTTGCCTGTTTGCCTTTTTGCCTGTTTGTTTGCTTGTCTGTTTGTCTGTTTGTCTGTTTGTCTGTTTGTCTGTCTCCCTAAACCTCAAAAGGACTAAGTAACCACGGCCGACTCTAAAAGGACTAGAATACTAGGGTCTTGTCAAAAGGCCCTGCGTACTTAGAAACTGCCAACATATTAAAGTGTACCTGGTACCTGGTGAAAGCTTGCAGATTTGACACATGGTATAACCCTGGTGCCATCTTAGATGACCTTAGCGGGAAACTAGACCAGCCTTCGTTTTCCATGTGCAAGCCCCATGCAAGGGTAGGGCGTTAGCAGAGTCAAGCCACATACCACTTGAATCCCGCCCAAGCTGCATTTTGGGAACTCAACAAATCACATTCATGTCATATAGGTCAGTTAAGGCAGGCCGCAAGTAGAAAGAGTTGTTCACCAGTCATGTCCACTTATGAGGAATAATCTGATCCTGAAAAAAGCTAAGCAACCCCCGCCAGAAAAAAAAAGTTCAGTAGTGTTTGCCAAGGGCTGCCCCTAAATGCTTCTAACCCAATCTCGAACCCTCCTGGCTGGACCCAATCCAATCCTGCTAACCCTGCTGGACCCCACTGCAAACCCCACCCTTAGGTGTTTTGTTGATGATTTACACCATGACCAACCTCTCTTTAGAAGTCCACTTAGCCTGTCTTGGGGGTGCATTTCCACAAATTATTTATGTAAATCTAAAACCTTTCAAACACATCATGAACCAACAAGCCAAGGGTACCCTCTGCAAAGCTACATGGGACTACCCACAACATGAGACCATACAGACAGCTATCGGTTGAGCTATCGGCGTATTGCCCCAAAACATTGCTTATCCAATATCGATTCCAATTGATTGGTGCCATTGCCAGCGTCCCTTCTTGAAGCCGACCAAACATCAAGCATGTGGAAGAGATGTTAATAGTAACATGTGTTTGTCAAACCTTCTCAAAAAGCATCCCATAACAATCAGCCAAGTGTACCCCGAACAAAGCTACGTGGTGCTTACATACACTAATCGAGCTAAGAGCGTATTGCCCCTAGCCAATGTGTATCCACAATTGAGTCCAATGTTTGGTGCCATTGCCAGATTTCCTGTACACAACCAAACATCAAATATATGGGCTCCAAGTCTATAAGATGTTCTCTTTTCTTTGTCAAACAAAACATGTAGACATCCGAAAATCATTAGCTAAAGATATCCCTACAACAACATTTGCTCCTAAACATATGCCCTAAATAAAGTCAATGGTCTTTGTCACTTCCTGGTAATGCATCCTAATCAAAAAGTAGTTCAAAAGTACGGATTATTTTTCTAACAAAGTTTTGCCAGAAAACACTGACCGTGAATAAAGCTAATGATCTGGGCCACGCCTGGAAATTGAGGCAAATGCAGAAGCTTCTCAACTGGATAATTGCTCTCTGATGTAAAACTGCCAAGCTTGCTGAAACCTGATTCAAATACAAAACTACTCGTACATAGTATAGCGCCTGTTACAGTAGTATTGGCAACAAACAGACGTCTGGGTCATGTCGTACTGATCCTACGAAGAATTTAAAACATAGCGTTTCACCTTTCTAAAGTGCGTAAGGCTGCCATATTTCCAGAAATGTGATTGCGCAAGAAATACAAATTCAAATTAATATTGTCAGACTTCCCGAACCCTGACCTAGAACCAAAACAAAGGAGCAGTAGTATTGCCAGACTTCCTGCATCCCGACGCCAAAAAATATGATTTCGAGTATCAAGCTGGACAAATCAGTCAAGATGTTCATATGGGATCGCAGTGGAGGGGGTGGGGCCCCCCGTTCAATGCTCAGAGGTGTATCGTGGCTCACCCTTTCAAAACAAATCGCGTTTTCAGCATATTCTAATGGGAAGGCCTTTTAAAACCACGAAAATTGCGGGCAGCGGAAGTGCTTTTTACCAGTTGGGATTGGGAGCAAGATTTCACGGCCTTTCACGAGTAGACAGGGCCTTTCACGAGTAGGCAGGTCCTTTTCACGCTGTTTCACGCCGATTCACGCGTTTTCACGCTACCACTCTCCTTGCAGAATCCCGTGATCACCTGGCTCAGCATTCCCAAACTCAACGTAGGACACCGCTCGCATGTCAAACTGGGCCAGGTTTAATTGGGGGAAGCATTGCTGACCGCATGCAACATGCGTGGTACGCACAGAATGTCTACCTCCACCTCTGATAAATAAACAGGGGTCCCCACCCCTCTACTTTGATCCCAAATAAACATCTTGACTGAATTGTCCAGCGTAATACTCGAAATCATATTTTTGGGGGTCGGGATGCAGGAAGTCTGGCAATACTACTGCTCCCTTGTTTTGGTTCTAGGTCAGGGTTCGGGAAGTCTGACAATATTAATTTGAATTTGTATTTCTTGCGCAATCACATTTCTGGAAATATGGCAGCCTTACGCACTTTAGAAAGGTGAAACGCTATGTTTTAAATTCTTCGTAGGATCAGTACGACATGACCCAGACGTCTGTTTGTTGCCAATACTACTGTAACAGGCGCTATACTATGTACGAGTAGTTTTGTATTTGAATCAGGTTTCAGCAAGCTTGGCAGTTTTACATCAGAGAGCAATTATCCAGTTGAGAAGCTTCTGCATTTGCCTCAATTTCCAGGCGTGGCCCAGATCATTAGCTTTATTCACGGTCAGTGTTTTCTGGCAACACTTTGTTAGAAAAATAATCCGTACTTTTGAACTACTTTTTGATTAGGATGCATTACCAGGAAGTGACAAAGACCATTGACTTTATTTAGGGCATATGTTTAGGAGCAAATGTTGTTGTAGGGATATCTTTAGCTAATGATTTTCGGATGTCTATATGTTTTGTTTTACAAAGAAAAGAGAACATCTTATAGACTTGGAGCCCATATATTTGATGTTTGGTTGTGTACAGGAAATCTGGCAATGGCACCAAACATTGGACTCAATTGTGGATACACATTGGCTAGGGGCAATACGCTCTTAGCTCGATTAGTGTATGTAAGCACCACGTAGCTTTGTTCGGGGTACACTTGGCTGATTGGTATGGGATGCTTTTTGAGAAGGTTTGACAAACACATGTTACTATTAACATCTCTTCCACATGCTTGATGTTTGGTCGGCTTCAAGAAAGGACGCTGGCAATGGCCCCACCAATTGGAATCGATCTAGGATAAATCTTGTTTAGGGGCAATACGCCGATAGCTTTATTTAGGACCACTTTGGGGTAGCACCAAATGACTGCATGGATACCCTTGGTTATCAAAAAGGTTGTGTATGTGTGCAATAAAAAAATATGAGTGTACATTATCATGATCATAGACCCCTAAACCTCTGTTTTGCCTGGCCACATACAGCAAAGAGAGGCTGGTAATTTTACAAAAGCTTGGAAGCAACAACGCTCCCAAGGGTGGTGTTTGCAGTGGGGTGCGGCGGACTGGAAGGATTGGATTGGGTCCAAACAGCAGGGTTGGGGATGAGGTCAAATTGCTTTGGGGCCATGGACCCTTAGCTTCATTTAGGGGTAGTCTATTTTTGTTCTTGCGGGGTCGCTTAGCTTTATGCAGGGCTGGTGTTAGGGTTGGTGCATTCCTCATAGGTGGCCAGTATGCGGTGATGCTTTTTTGGGTGAAATTCTGCCACAAGATCAAGTACGAGAAGTGACCAAAAACATTCATTGTGCATATCAAGGTTGCTAGCGAGAATGGAACAGCTTGTACGAAGCCAAATTAAAGGGTGTTGTTATCATGTTCACACCCTGGGCCCTTGACAGTAGCTTCATATATCGTACAGGAATTCCCAACAGGGTGCCATGTTGCAAATCACCGAGTAGTAAGTCTCGCTCGAGTAAAGAGGTCCTTTTAAAAGAACCTAGTTACTGCGGCCTTTGAAGCCTAGGGTCTGTTTGTCTGTCTGTCTGTCCGTCTGTCCGTCTGTCTGTCTGTCTGTTTGTCGGTCTGTTTGTGTGTCTGTCTGTCTGTTTGTGTGT